ATAACAAACCACTCCAAAGCTGAAAACAACAATAAATTATTATTTCTCATAATTCTGTTTAACGATAACCCATGAGGAGCAAGTGAAGTCACCCATATTTTACAAAGGAGACTGGAGCTCAGAACTCTGGACACCTCAGATCACACAACTAGTAAATGGGAGAAGGGAAACTGCAGCTCATGTCTGATTACTGCAAGGCCTGTGTTTTTTGTTTTTTAGCATTAATGTGTCACAGTTACTCTGGCCAGCACACCCTGTGTTATCTAACAATGATTTCCATGTTCAATCTTTTCAGGTTTTGAAAATTGCTCTATTCACAAATGAATAAGAAAATAATCCATTAAAATATTTTTTCTAGAGCTTAGATTATTTATAGGTTTTTTAATTTGGAGGGACGTACCTAATTCTTAGAGACCTTGATAATGAACCTGTAACAGAGCTATTAGCAATGTTTACTTACTGTAAAACATTAACCGGCTAAGCCAGGTGGTTGTTTGGAAGTACACACCTATGCAAACCCCGAACGGGGAGTTATTTAGATTTTGCAGTGCCCAGATTTTCTTCTCAGGGATAGAGCTTCTTTACTGTACCCTAGTCCCATGACAGAATTTCAGCCCCAAACTCCCAGTCCCACAGTTCCTGTAAGGCATTTATGCTACTGTGCAAATGTCAGTACTCGTGAGACTTGTATCACTGGGGTGGACTTGAGATGGGTTGGCCTGCACATAAAAATTATACTGAGAAAGTGTCCAAAATTACACTCATTATTGCTTGTAATTCCTGGATGCTTGAGACTAAGTCACATGGAGATTAGGATCAGATCTGGTTCAGAAGTGCTACCTGCGGTGCTGTTGCTATGGTAACCAATGGCCAAGGAACAGAGATCCAGGGAAACTATAGTCTTTGCTGCCATCCTGAGCTGGGCTCTGCCACCAGACCCTCCCTGGATGACGTGCTTCACTGAAGAATGGCTTCTGCTGCATCCCGTTGTATGGTCCCATACTCTCGGTCCCCAGCCTCCAAATGACACTTCTCATTAGGAACCTCAGCTGCCTGTGCCTTTGATCCATTCCCTTCACTTTTGTTGTCACGTTTCTGATTTGGAGAGAAATCAGGAAATGTTTGTACAAACAAAGACCTCTGAACCCCCCTTATTGTGCAGATACCCATGTAAGAAGCTTCTACTTTAAGCAATCTCAGTCTTCACCCCCAACTACCTTCTTATACAACACAGCTCATGACATCCTAACTTCACGGGAGTGAGGCAAATATGAAGAAGTGTCCCAGGGTGAGAAGAACTAGAAAAATAAGTCAGGCTGACTATGGGAGTTTGGTGAAATTGTAGTACATGATTACCAGGTGGAAAAAATAATATTCTATACTGACCTAAAGTTGGAGCAACCAATATTCCTATCTCAGGCCCCTTGTCCCCATCAGAGGGTCACATACCTTGTTTTGTATCCTGTGGTACTCATTTAACACGTACTGATATTTAGGTTGAGTAAGACCGAAGAAGACAGCAAACCTTCCACCAAGGAACTCACATGCTAAAAGAAAGAATGAGCACTTGGGTAAACCGAATTAATAACTAAAGCTTAGCATCAGCTGAGGGCCGAGTTTAAACTACTCTGCAAGTGATCTCTTAATATACTTAACTTGAAGCCTGATAAAAGATTTCAATTGCCTTGGCCTCTCAAAAATTCTAGGCTTCAAAGGAAATTTGTCAAATCTTCTATCTTTATATGGGATTATATATAAACTATTTTTTCCAGATGTATATATCAGGAGAGATTTTCAATATATTTTAACATCAGGTACAGCATGGGTCCTGAGCAACCAGAACAGGTACTGCTCATTAACCCCGTGTGTACTGGCTTACATTTCTATTAAACCCGAACTCAACCCAGTGTTACCAAGACCCACATCAGGAATTCCTCCATGCATCCAGACAGACACCTCAGAAGTCGTTCAAGGCCTTCCTTGTCTGCCTTCGGTAGCAAGGATGCCTGCAGGCTCAGCACTGGCATTGTCAGAGGCAGGGATAAAGGTGTAGCATGAATAACGAGTGGCTCCTGAAGATGACCCCTAGAAATGTTTTCCTTTAAAATTAGAGGATTTCTGACAGCCTTCTCTTATGCCCCAATTATAGGACTTTCTGATTCCTTTGATTCATTCTGCCTCTTGGGATATCACACTCACATAGGGCATCAAAAGGATGCTATTTTTAATATGTCTTATCTTTTCAAAAATATGCTATCTCTTTATTCTGTATATTTGTAGTAGATAAGTTTTTAAAAAAATATTAAAATAAATCTTAGGGAGCTTTCCTGTTTATGACCTACTAGAATTTTAAATTGAAAAAATTAATTACCAGTGTCATCTGGGTTTCAACTCCATTCAAGCAAAATCTCTGTGTACAGAGACCACAGTCCTGACTGCTAGCATCTTTATGCCTCCACTGCGACCTTGAAGCTCTGGTCAGGAGCATTTTTTCACTGCAGCTCTGTTTGGAACTCACAAGAAAGCCAGGCTCGCCATGCATCCTATCCCTGCAATCTCAAATCAAAACTCAACATGCAAATCACTCTTGTCTATACTCTCAATCCCATACTGAGTTTTGCTTCTTATACATGACCTAATCTTCTCTGATTCCCTCCATCTGAAACATATTTCTTTTTTTGTTTTGTTTGTTTGTTTGAGATGGAGTCTCGCTCTGTCACCAGGCTGGAGTGCAGTGGTGCGAACTCGGCTCACTGCAACCTCTGCCTCCTGGGTTCAAGCGATTCTCCTGTCTCAGCTTCCCAAGTAGCTGGGATTACAGGCACATGCCACCAACCCAGCTAATTTTTTTGTTTTTAGTAGAGACGGGGTTTCACTGTGTTGGCCAAGATGGTCTCAAACTCTTGACCTCATGATCCGTCTGCCTCGGACTCCCAAAGTGCTGGGATTACAGACATGAGCCACTGCGCCCGGCCCGAAACATATCTTTTTAAATGCCTTTGCCTTAACTGAAGTGTAGAGCTTTCTAGAAGACGGCATTTTTTCCTGTTAACATATTGCAGTCAGGGTAGGGTTAGTATTGACTGGGATTTCCAGTGTAGCTTCTGAATCACTAAACCTCTGTGCTTGTGTAAAAGCGTTTATTGCTTGAAGGTTCATATCTGACTAAATCACCTCGTCTTTACTTCTTACTGTAATTTAAAGACTCCCTGGTCACGGTCGTGGTCCTCAAGCTAACCTTAGCCAGCCACACTGTCATAGCTCTCTGAAGGTGTCTCCTCCATATGTCAGCGTGCCCGAGTCTTCCAGGTTATAGTCCCTGTGCACTCCTACCCTGGCAATGGTGAAAACAACTTATAATTACGAGCATGTTTGCTGATCTACATGATTCACTGAATACTGAGCCCCTTGAAAGCAGAGCCTGTCATTCATCTTTGTGTCCCAGGGTCCAGCACAGTGCTGAGCATATAGTAGACAGTACATGTTTTTTAAATGAATGAATGAAGATCACTTTCTAAGAGCTATGAATACATTTTATATTTTCTCAGATTCTTAAAATAGTTTGCCTTTCTATCGTATTCACAAGATGTGCAAGTTAGAAGGAAATGAGTAATTGGATGTTGTCAACTATGTCTTAAAGAAAATTGGTGAAAGTAAAACAAAATACGATTTAGTATTTTGTTATAAATATTTACTTAGCCCAGTCATTATGTCTCTAGGAGGGATCAATAAAGTTCATGTTTATAATAAAGCGATTATGATAAGGGAAGTAGAAACTTAGAACTGTGTCATACAATATATATATATTTTTGAGACGGAGTCTTGCTCTGTCACCAGGCTGGAGTGCAGTGGCACGATCTTGGCTCACTGCAACTTCCGCCTCCATGGTTCAAGCGATTATTCTGCCTCAGCCTCCTGAGTAGCTGGGACTACAGGTGTGAGACAACACACCCAGCTAATTTTTGTATTTTTAGTAGAGATGGGGTTTCACCATGTTGGCCAGGATGGTCTTGATCTCTTGACCTTGTGATCCACCTGCCTTGGCCTCCCAAAGTCCTGGGATTACAGGCATGAGCCACCACACCCAGGCAATAATTATTTTTTTAAACTTGAAAGTTTATTCAGATGAAGAGTCAAGTAAGGGAGGACTGATTATTGTTCTCCAATATTTGAAACTCTGGGTTTATGAAAAAGGCATCTAGCCTAGTTTGGTACGGTTCTAAGAAAGAAAAGTAGGAACTTTAGAAGTAGATAAAATTTGGGTCGAGATAAGAAAGAATTTCCTGATGAGAGTTGGTAAAGGATGAAGGGTCAACCTCAGGATGTGAGGTTCTGTGCCTTTGGAAATTAAAGCCTAGCCCAGATCTCGCTTCTTCAGGATGCGATGGGGTGGCTCACACAATTGGAAGTCCACATAACCCTGAGGGCCTATCAATATTTATATCTATTGAGGACAGAAAAAAGTAACCTTAGCAATACTTACTAGAAAATGAGGTGCTTGCTATTCGTCCTGCCCAAAATCGTAGGTAGGGCCCCCAAGAAAGTTTAGACTGCAAAAAGGAGACATCAGCATGGAGTAATTAATAAGAAGAATGGTGACTGCAGATTTGTTTTAATGTAGTTTCAAAATGCTCTCTGTATGTCGTATGTTCCATTTTCTCTCTCACAGATGAAGAGACTAAGATGATTAAAATTATAAGTTGCCTACACATGGATCTAGAAAACAAAAAAGGAGACCAAGGACTTAGTTTAAAGCTGTTTTTTCTATAAACTTGGTCTGGCTCAGTCTCTCGTTCATTTACCACCTCCCCCACCATGTTCCCTAATATTGACATACTAAGCTTACAGGGTCAAGTGTTGAATTTATGCTCTGCTCCTCTTGTTCCTCTTTTTCTTCTTCCTCCTCTTCCTCTGTGTTATATTCTTCCATGATGTCTCCGTCAACAAAATGGATAATCCTTCTAGGAGTAGTCTTTTTGGAAGGTACACTCTTCTCTAGGTCTAACTGCTGAAAACCGTCTATCTCCATAATGAAACAAAACAACTAGAAAATTAAAAACAGGGTACCTTTTAGGGCAAGTGACCCACAGCTGAGAGTTATCTAGTTATCTTCAATGGCTAGTAAAGACAGAGATTTCAGAGGTAATCACACTGGTGACCTCTTCCATTCTTCAAATCCAAGAAAGGACTGTTCTGTTCTCTACCAAAATGGAGGCGATTTGATAAGTAGTGAACGTGTGAACTTTCAGACTTCAAACAAAAGTGTCAACAGGGTTTTCTTACCTTTTGTTAACTTTAAAACCCACAATTTCTAGTAGGAAGGAGTCACTGCCTTGCAGAAGTTTCTCACTTATTTCAATAAATATTGAGAAGCAGTGTAGGAAATGGTTGCGTATAGACTTCACAGACAGGAGAAAACATGTGCAAAGTATATATTTGGTAAAAGACTTATTTTCAGAACATGTAAAGAATGATTACAGTTCACTAGGTAAAAGGTAAACAATTCAATTAAAATATGGTCAAAATATTTGAGTAGAGATTTTACCAAAGATTTACAGATGACTAATCTCATTAGTCATTAGGGAAATATAAATTAAAATCATAATGAGATATTATAACATACCCATTGTCATGGCTAAAAAAAATTTTTTTTGAAATGGAGTTTAGTTCTTGTTGCCTGGGCTGGAGTACAATGGTGTGATCTTAGCTCACTGCAACCTCTGCCTCCTGGGTCCAAGTGATTCTCCTGCCTTAGCCTCCTGAGTAGCTGGGATTACAGGCACCCGCCACCATGCCTGGCTAATTTTTTGTTGTTTTAGTAGAGATGGGTTTTACCATGTTGGCCAGGCTGTTCTCAAACTCCTGATGTCAAGTAATCCACCCACCTCGGCCTCCCGACGTGCTGGAGTTACAGGTGTGAGCCACCGTGCCCAGCCTATTTTCTTGTTTTTGTTTTGGCTTGTTTGTTTTTTGAGACGGAATCTTACTCTGTTGCTCAGGATGGAGTGTAGTGGCACAATCTCGGCTCACCACAACCTCCACCTCCTGGGTTCAAGTGATTCTCCTGCCTCAGGCTCTCGAGAGGCTGGGACTACAGGCACGCCCCACCATGCCTGGCTAATTTTTCTATTTTTAGTACAGATGGGGTTTCACTATGTTGACCAGGCTGGTCTCGAACTCCTGACCTCGTGATCCACCTGCCTTGGCCTCCCAAAGTGCTAAGATTATAGGCATGACCTACTGCACCTGGCCAAATTTTCATTTTTTATTTTTTTGGGACAGAGTCTTGTTCTGTTGTCCAGGCTAGAGTGCAGTGGCATGATCATGGCTCACTGCAGCCTTGATCTCCCAGACTCAACTGATCTTCCTGTCTCAACCTCCTGAGTATCTGGGAACACAGGCGCATGCCACCATGCCTGGCTAATTAAAAAAATACAAAAAACTTAGCCAGGCATGGTGGCATGTGCCTGCAGTCTCAGCTACTTGGAAGGCTGAGGTGGGAGGATTGCTTGAACCCAGGAGGTGGAGGTTGCGGTGAGTTGAGATTGTGCCACTGTGCTCCAGCCTGGGTGACAGAGTGAGACTCTGTCTCAAAAGAAAAAAAATGCAATAAATGTATGCTAAAAAATTAGTAAATAGGATGAGAAATGTCAGGAAGTATTGACTTTTAAAAACACTATTTTGGTGGGGACAGTATAAAGACAAAACCAAGTACTAAGTATTAGATAATAAAAAAATATGAGTTGACTTCAAGTATTGTTTTGGGATAGGCTGGATAAGATAGGTTGCTAAGTATGCATATTAACAATTGAAAAGTAACTAGACAAATAATGGAATTAGAATGTGTAGCTTCAAAACCAGTGGAAGAAAATAAAAAAGAAAAACACTCTGATGGAAGGCAAGAAAGAAGCAACAGTAAAGAAAAATCATGATCAAAAGAAACACTGAATAAAATATCAGCAATAATTCCAAGTAAGTCAATAATCATAATAAATGCAAATGGATTGTCAGCTATCCATTAAAATGAAGAGTAGCAGATCAAATTTAAAAAATATTTTATGGGCAATGTAAACATGAATGAATATATATATATACACACACACACTCACACACACAAATAAATCACCAAATCTTATTGCTACAATGCTGAGCTTAATGCCTTTGTCAAAGGTCAGAGTTGCAAAAGACTTGCCAAAGGTTACATTTGTCATCCACAGCAAGGTGATGTGATATCTGCCCTGCTCTGGGGACCTCTGAATATTACACATGGTTTCCCCTGACTTAGTGATGGTGTATCATAGAAGAGCCTTAGTAAAAAGTAGATAGGTATTACCATTTAATTTCTGATGCCAAAGAGCAGCAAAAAAAAAAAAATTTTTAATTTGGTATGTAAGACAAACAATATGTGAAGCATAATACTATTGCACAAATAAATATTATCAGTTCCCTAAGAAACAAAGCACACTCTACAACAAGCAAGAGAAAATTAAAACATTTTCAAATAGTAACTTACATAATCCCTCTGTATTTTTCTTTCATTTGCTACGTTTGGTGTTGAAAGTAGTACAAATTTTGATGTTAGGGATTGTTCAATAGATGATAAAGTTAAGAGTTAAGGGTTCTGTAGGCTGAGGCCATGCAGAGCGCTTGGATATGCTGACGTGGAAGTGTTCTCTCGCATGGCTGACAGGGTGGAACATGTTTGAGTTGTGGGAAGGTCTATATTTACACATCCAACATTAGCTAAGCCCAGTGGCTCTCAAAATTATTTGGTTATGAGAATCATCTGGGGGTCTTTTAAATAATTTCTAAGACAGGCCACACCTCAGGCCACCTAAATCACAATCTCTGTGGGTGGAACTCAGGCACTAGTTATTTTTTTGAAGCTGCCCGGGTCATCCCAGTGTTCAGGCAAGTTTGGGGACCAATGCCCTAAAGAGAGTGGGACAAGAAGAAGCTTTGAAACTGAAACAGAAAGAGACTTGTGATTGAGAGACTGGGTTTATTGCAGAAAGCTTAAACATCAGGCTAGTCGCAAGACACCTTGCCTTTTTCTTTCCAAGGGGCTTTCTTGCTTTCTACTTTCTGAACGCTTCTTCACCCTGCCCCAAGCTAAAAAGCTTAAATATCAAAAGTTTAAAAATTAGGCCTAATAGTGTCATTAGAGTCAATTTACTCCTCTTAAGACTGTCCAATTCATACATTTCCAAACCTAATGAGACATAAGCACACCCTCATCCCCTGTACACCTGGCTCACCTCCTGTATTATCTTACAGACTGATGATATCTGTTGGCTCTCTGAAGAAAAGACCAGTCTCTGTTCTTCTTGATGATAGTGTTGTACATTGACAGACATACACATCTGTAAGTTCAGAGGGCTCTCTGAGAGGCTAGAGGGGAGTGGAGAAAGTGTAAACCAGCACGAGACCGAGCACTAGCTGGCTCACCGTTGGTTTACTGAATGTTTTTCTGCCACCTAATGGGCATTTTAGAATATGCTCTGCAAACTCCATGTTTATAGTCAGTGCGTGTCTCACAGAGGGATCTCGATAGTGAACAGGTTGGAATCAACTTATTTACAAAAACCTTGGGAGCACTGCCAGCTTCACACTTAGATGTGGATATTTTGTACGTGATATTTTAGCTTCAGTTTCTTTTTTTCTTTTTTTTTTAGACACGATCTTGCTTTTGCCCAGGACGGGGTGCACTGGGTGTGATCTCTGTTGACTTCAACCTCCACCTCCCATAGGCGTGTGCCACTACACCCGGCTTTTTTTTTTTTTTTGTAGTTTTTGTAGAGGTGGGGTTTCCCTATTTTTGTCCAGGCTGTTCTTGAACTTCTGGGGTCAAGCAATCCTCCTGCCTCAGCCTCCCAAAGTGCTGGGATTACAGGCATGAGCCACCACGCCCCGCTGTTTCTTAACCCAAATATAAAGGATAGTACCCAAGCATGCAATGTAATTAACAGATCATACAATCTCTCTGACCTTTTGAATACCGTATTAGCCCAGGGCCCAGTGAGTGGACCTCTTCTCTTTTCTATCTGCTTTCTTGATGATCTCCTGTGGCCCTGTGGCTTTAAATACTACGCACACACAGGTGACTGCAACTTTCATATTCTCCAGGTCAGACTTTTTCCCTGAATCTCACAGATCAACTACCCGCTTGACATCTCAGTCCTAGTGTGTCTGTATCTTTGCTCGTGCTTTCGGTGCCACTCTCACTCCATCCCCGCAACACACACATACTTACCTCTCCTCCTCTGGTAGCCTTCTCGTCTCAATAAACGGCCGCTCTATCCTTCCAGCTGCTCAGGCCAACATGAAAGTCATTCCTCGTTCTTCTTTAATCACTCCTCACATCACATCTGCCAGGAAATTCTCTTGGAAGTTTCTGGAATCACACTTTCATGACTCCACTGCCACCACCCTGGGCTGTCATCTCTCACCGTTGCCATCGTCTGTCACCTAGATTATTGCAGCGGCCTCCTAATTGGCCCCCTCCAGTCTACACTGGAAAAGGAGGCAGAATTGTTAAATCCTAAGTCAGGTCATGTTATTTCTCTGCTTAAAACTCGCCAGTGGGTTCTCGTCTCACCTAGTGTAAAAGCCGAAGTCCTCACAATGGCCTGCAAGGCGGTATATCCAACCCCTGAGCTTTATGATGCCATCTTGTACTACTCTTCGCCGACTGACCATCACTCTAACCACACCAGCCTTCTTACTGCAACTCCTTGACCACACAGGTCCTCCCTCTCTCTCTGCAGAGAGCTCTGTACTGGCTGCTCTATCAATCTTTCTTTCCAGATTGTTCATTGCTCATTTCCAGTCTTTAACTCAAATGGAGACTACGCTGAGCTCCTCTTTCAAGGCAACCACCCATTGCCTTCACCACGGCCCTTTGCATCTTACCTCCTGTTTCATTTCTTCTTAGCACTTACCAACACTGAACAACACTCCATATTCCACGTCTGTCTTCCCTTTCCTTCCTGCCCCGCCCCTTGGCAGAGTGGGAAGGTTTTTACCTCTCTGTTCACTGCTGTATCTTCTGCCTGTACAATGCATTACACAGAGCTGGAACTCAGTATTTGTTTAACAAATGAATCATACATTTAGTTCATGTTAATGGGTGGGAGGAGGTGTATAACAGACTGGAAAAATAACAAACTTGAATTGTCTTTATTTCCTGCTTTAGAAATGACTATCCTTCATTTAATACTTTTCTGATTACAGCTATATACTAATCATTTCATTTTGATTAACTCCTTCACTGAAAAGAGTTAAAGTATTATAATCTGTACCAAGGAAATAACACATTAGTTCTACATCTTGGCATTTAACTTCAATAAGTAAATACACTATTTTAAGTATATAACACTTAAAATTTTCTAGAATTCTTTCCATTTTCATTTATCTAGAAATGTTTTCAAATGGACTATGCTAAAATTCAGCTAAGAACTGATGTTGGGTCATTACACAGGAGCTAATCAGCGTTGCTTGCCCGGAGCTGCTGGTCCCCCTTCCTGCTTCCGCCTTTCCTTCTTCCTGAGGTGGCTGAAAGGTCAAACCCCTAGTGAGAGCAGAGACCCAAGGCCCCACTGTGCACCTCAGAGGCAGAGCTTCACAGCATGGTATTCACTGACATTTCTCTAGGCCCCTTCACCTGAGGGAACTGACCTGCTCCCATCAGTGACCTGCTGTGTGTGTGTCAGAAGGGAAGAGAAAAATGTGAAATAACAAATCACTGCTGCTCCTTGAGAATTAAAGAGCATCATCACCTGGCAGGATTGCTGTGTCTTTATTTGCAGTATTAAACCATATACATGCACCCCAGTGCCTGCATGTCTGTCCACGCCTGTCCCACTGTGGTGTTTCCCAACCTTTTTTACATCATGCAAGATGACAGAGAAAATTCTTTGGAATTCTGGAGGCAACCAGCCTGGGAGCTCCAGCCACCGTAAGTCCTGCCCAGGAGGCCACCCAGAAAGCTTCAATCAATAGCTTGAGACAACCTACTTGTGAAGCTCTGCATTAAAGAAGCAAAGTCAAGTTTGACATTTTCTCAGGGGAGTGCTCTGAGAGTGACTGTATAAGCTTCTACCGACTTCAAGCAAATCATAGGCATCAGATACATTAAATGCTGAAGTGAGAGCTCTGGCTTTTTGGATAAGCACAATCAAATGTATTTTCTGTTTTATAATTAATCAACTTCTCTCCTAGATTAACTATTTTGATCCCTTTATTATTAAAACATTCTTAAATAAAAATTTAAACTTTAAGCAAATTGTTCAAATGTCAAATAAAAAAAAATCTTTAGATACGAAGTTATGGTAACCCAAAGTGACATTCCAAGTTTATTTTATACAGTAAAATGCAGTATTTTCTAAAGCATGATTACTCTAATTCTAAAAGAATTCTGAATATGGTTTTATTTCTGCATGCATTTATACAACATTAGAAGTGTCACCTCAAGTTTGTAAGGCATAGTTTTCTACAGATTATTGTGCAGCGACAATAAGCCTCTAGCTTAGCAAACCATAGTACAAATACTGCATCATGTTGGTTACTACCAAGCCCGAGACATAAACAGGCCAATCAAAATCCTTTGAGATTAAGAAGCGATAGGTACTAATACACATAAGCAGACACTGAAGAAGTCAAGGACACTGAAGGTTTAATGAGTCCATGAAGCATAAAATCATTGATGCAAATGTATCTGTCATTTTATTTTTTTGTGTGACAGTGCCTCACTCTGTCACCCAGGCTAAAGTGCAGTGGGGCATGATTGTGGTTCACTGCACATGCTACCACACCCAGCTCATTTTTTAATTTTTGCAGACACAGGATTTCCCCATGTTTTCCAGGCTGGTTTCAACTCTAGGGCTCTAGCAATCCTCTCGCCTCAGCCTCCTGAAGTGCTGGGATTATAGGCATGAGCCACCAGGCCTGGTTATCTGTCATTTTCAAACATTATCATGAAGAATGATTTTGCACTGTCTTAACTGTTACTAGCTTGGTAAGTATAAAAATATTTATCAAAAAACAAGAGATCTCAATGAAATTGTGAGTAAAATTACTTTTATTTTCATAAATAGAGAACCCATTATACACTTTGAGTAGAAGTAACATGTTAGTTGTCACTGCCCGGTATGAAATGCGTGTAATAGTAAACACAAGTAGTTACATCTCTCCATAACCTTCATGTAATTTCTCTACATTTGATAATTTCCAACAAGGTTTTAAAAACATTACATATAACGGGATATTTTAGTCAACAAAATATTTATCTGCTCATGTCAAAGATGCCTACTGATTTCAAGTACTGCTTCATTTTACAGAAGCACTGGACATATGACATTTCCATTTCATATACGACAGTATCATCCCCAAAAATGTCAATGTGAAAATTTAGTAAGTAGATTAAGAAGCACAAGTATCTAAGAGGAGTAGGTCCCACAAGCCAGAAAGTAAAGAGCTGGCATCAAGTACTGTTTAACGTTTTGTCAGTAAGTGGCACACAACAGACAAGTGATTCTGTAAAAAAGACAACAGAAAATGCAGTGAGATTTAATAAAGCATTTTCCATAGATATTAAAATAAAATTAAATGTCTGTTTACTTATTACTCCACTTATTTCAGAAACTGCAGCTTCAAATATTAATATCATGCAGCTAGCAGTATTTAGTATTTCATATGTTAAGAAAAAACCTCTGAATTTATCTACCTTTTTTAAGGAATGTAAACTATGATATATGATTTAAGTAATCACTTATTTGAATGCAGTATTGATTCAGATAGGCATAATCTACTCATTTTTCATAATGAAATGTATATTCCTATTTCAACACTTTGCTTATTTCTCACCGGGCTGCTGTGGATTCAATGGCTTATCTATGTAAGTGTCCAGCACAGTGGCTGGCACACAGTGGCTTTTAGTGTATGCTACTTATGTTATCTATATTAAGTGAATCAACCTGTCACTTACAATAGAAAAATTACCTAATGCTCCAAGAGAATAATCAGAAGTTAAGCCTACAGATGTGTGACTTCTGTTTAAGTATTATGCATCCACTATTTCCCAAATTTGCATACACACTAATTGTTTCAACTGTTACAATCTATTTTTAAGATCATATTGTATCTGTATTTGTTCTCTATGTTTTTGCTATGGCCTTTGGCCTAAAGAAATATAATTCTGACAGGACATTATCAGAAAACCACATAAAAACAAATGTACACTGAAATCAGGTCACCAAGGCATTTTACTATAACTTCTTTAATAAAGAAGTAGAGAGTTAACAGTGTAATTCAGGACAACCTATCTCATTTTAGTTTTTTTTCTTTACATCATGCAATATTTGACTTCAAAAAACATTTTCCATTCTGTCTTTCCTATATATAAACATTAAGACTATCATAACTATTACAAAGGTCTGTCCTCTAAGTAAAAAACCCACTAGAAAAGATATTTGTAAAAATCAGTGCAGGGCTACGGATACTGAATGAATGAAGCACAGGGCTACTGGAATAGGGTAAGTTCTTAAAGGTCCCAACATACCTATAAACACTGATTTTTGAGTAAATTATTGATTCTAATACATGTAAAGGACTTGGTGTGATGGTTTTCTGATCTTCAACTATAAGTGACAATTTTTCCACCCACCAGAAAAAGATAAATGACTGAGAACATAAGTCTGTGTTCTGATTAACACGATGGAAAAGTGGAAAAACTATCTCTGTTAAAAATGGATTCCTGTCATTCTTCTGATATCAAGTAAGAGGAAGGAAAATTAATTTTTTGTGTGTAAATAGAAAAACATACCTGAGGCTGGGGCGGTGGCTCACACCTGTAATCCCAGCACTTTGGGAGGCGGGTGGATCAGCTAAGGTCAGAATATGAAATTAGGCCAAATCTTTAAGACCAGCCTGGCCAACATGGTGAGACCCGTCTCTACTAAAAATACAAAAATTAGCTGGGCATGGTGGCGTGTATCTGTAATCCCAGCTACTCAGGAGGCTGAGGCAGGAGAATCACTTGAATCCAGGAGGTGGAAGTTGCAGTGAGCTGAGATCATGCCACTGCACTCCAGCCTTGGCAACAGAGGGAGACTCTGTCTCAAAAAAAAAAAGAAAAAAAGAAGAAAAGAAAGGAAAAGAAAAAAGAAAAAACATACCTGAAACCACAATTTGGGCCTATATTGACCTGAAACTTATTACTATCCAGAGTTTAACAAAAAGATCCAACCCCCAAATACACCCTTTAGAGGCACAATAAAATCTTCCAAATGTTGTCCTGATTGAAAGGAGAATCTGAAAACAAAGCAAGAAACACCTCCTGTATTAAAAATCAAGAACAAGTAAGCTGAAGGCAGATACCCTCTGAATGCAAGTTATTCTACAAGCTTCAGAGAACTCATTTGGAGAAATAAGAGCTGCAATTCTGTGGTTTATCTTCTCTACGGCTAGAGAAATTCTAAGTGCAAACTGTATTTTAGGAGATGTGGCACCCAGTGTCCTTCTGAGGTTTGATATCTGGTTCTTTCACGGGTTTTACTTCTTCTTCTGGTTTGGGTTTAGTCTAGGGAGAAAAAAAAAGAAACAGTTTAAGTATATAAACGAAGACTGAGAAAACAAACACTAAATCTTTTCCACTTCAGACTTTTAAAAGATGCTATATTAAATTATATAACACAGATACTGACAAAGCTATTCCAGAAACTACAGACCAATTCATTTTAAGATATAATCGGAAAGCAACATTTCAGTAAAGATCAAAACCTAGTTTGGTAGGCAAAAATCAAGCTAATGGTACTTTGACTGCATATTCTTTTCTAAGTGATCTATCTATACATGTAGAACCCTAAAGGTTAGACATGACTTATGACAGTAATAGGCTATCTCTTAGGGCATTATTTCATAGTTGATCAGAATATAAAGACAGTTATTTTAAGGAACAAATTTTAATATGGGAAGGAAATTATATAAACAAAACCCAATTTCAAGGAAGGAGCAATGGCTATAAAATAATTTTCATTCATTCGTCACAGATCCCTAGTCTTTTGGTAGTTAGACCTCAAAATTTCCACTTAATTTATCATTTGATTTAGAACACCAAGATGTACTTAGATAGCAATAAATAAAAGTATTCTTATTTTATCCCTGGATTCATAGAATACTGTAATTAGGCCAAATCCTCAAACGCTCTGCAGTTTGCTAAAACAAAAACAGAGTATTGCTATAGCAATATATAAACATGGCTGATCTTTTCTCCCACACTCCTTTAAAGGAGGCACTGACAAGTTGTAAAGAGGCAAGACAATGTGTTGAAAAGAATGTCATTATTCAGAAGACATAAGGCCTCGAGGTCTTATCTCTGAGAGTGTTCTACCACAGATTATACTAAGCACTGTAACTCTCTAACTTAGCATTTAGACAAAGATATGTATCTATTTAAATAAAGAAAAATATCAAAATGCTAACTCTGAATTTTCTTTTAAACTTTTGGTAATGAAAGCAAAAAACAAAGCAAAACAAAACAATCTCATACACTGTCATCCTTGGGTCTTTTGGTGAGATCAAATGCAGCCAATGTTTCTGGTGTCCACTGAGCACTTGTAGGAGGAAATTCGAAAGGTACAGGCTCTACGAGACCGTAATTTGCTTTGAGTTCCAGCTGTGGGGCTTCTGTTGGAATTTTTTGAAAGTAACTGCAAAAAGTAATTTAAATAGCAATTCATTCATTTGTTCATTATTTGAGAGCCTACTACGTTCAAGGTCGTGTTTGGGACAATGACAGTTTAATCATGAATAAGAAATTTTCTGCCTCATATAGATCAGTAAATGACAAAATCAAGACATTTTGTCAATTACAATGCAATGTACTGGAGCTACCATGGAAGTAGAGTGCTATAAGAATGCAGACAAGGGGAATTAACCCAGAATTAAGTTCAGTGACTCTTTCCAAAGGAAATCATTAAAGGTGAACTAGGCATGTTTAAGGAAGTGAAAAGCTCAGTATATATAGATGAAGAATATAAAGGGAAGAATGTAAGGAGATAAAAGCAGGAAAAAGATTGAGTCTACCCACCCACACAGATGGTAATCTACAGTTTGAAAAACACTGATTTAATCATGGAAAACCTCTTGAAAAACAAAACAAGAAAAACTGAGAGCTGAAACCAGCATGAGGTGAATATGCAAAGGAGGTTGAGAAGATACATTAAAACATGGAGAAAGAATGGCAGGCGGAGTTAAGAGAAAATCAGGACACTATGTGAGTGTCCTAATGAAATAAACTCTACGTTAATAACTAATGTTTTAATTTTAAAGTCTGCTTGTATATATTATCCGAAGTAGAATAAAAGGCGCTACACAACTGAACTTTATCACTAATGTAAAGAGAAAACTAATGTGAAATGTAAATACTATATATATTTGAGACAGTGTCTCATTCTTGCCCAGCTTGAGTGCCGTGGCTCAGTCACGGCTCACTGCAGCCTTGACATCCCAGGCTCAAATGATTCTCCCACCTTACCCCCTAAGTAGCTTAGACTACAGGCGTGTGCCACGGCCAGCTAATTTCTTTGTATTTTCTGTATAGACAGGTTTTGACATGTTGCCCAGGCTGGTCTCAAACTCCTGGGCTCAAGGGACTCACCTGCCTTGGCCTCCCAGAATGCTGGGATTACAGTCGTGAGCTACCACACCTAGCCCATAAGTGCTATTTAACATAAAACTTTTGGAAATAGAGACTAACAGAAATGATATTACTAAAATATTAGTATTTTATTATCATTATAAATCAATATATTATTATTAAAATAATATTAAGCTGTACTCACATAAATCCATTTTCTCTCTGACATTTTTCTAGGGTGTTCTTCACAAGGTTTCCAAGCTTCCTAAAGAACAGATGTCCTGAAGGTTTGACTGTTGGTCCAGGTCCTTTGGTTTCTCCATATTCTTTACACAGTGCTTCTGCCTTTGCATATACTACATGTGAAAGAGATATAAAGTCTTTGATTACAATTAACACTGCTATTTATACCTACAAGGCTTTAAGTTGGAGGTAGTAAGACATTTACTGCTCTTAATATAATAGCAATGCCAGTAAAAATTCTGTAAGTAGAAGGTGAGTATTTTCTATAGGTTCTAGGTTTTTGAAACATTTGTTTCTTTTCTCATTCATTCCCATTTCCCTTTCATAAACACAGCCAAAATCTCTTTAAGCACATATTCCCTTTTATGATAAAGTCATTTGTTTTTTAAAAGCAAGTTAGTATTTTGGCAGGAATACTTACATTTTTCTGCTTCTTGAAGAGACCTGATTGCTTCACCACATTTATCACCAGCCAATAAAGTCTGACCATGATAACAGTAAGCCTGATGAGATAAACACATTTTTATTCATTCTCTCCCTTCAAGATGCTTTCCCCTATTATTGTTCTATGTGTTGATCAGATAAATTAATACCTTCATTCAATGAAGTATCAATGCAATCCCTCCCTTACACTTCTTTACTTGATTAAGCTCTTCCCCAACCTTTGTTCATAGAAAAAATGGAAATACGTCAGGTCTTGAGCCAAAATAGCCTTCTAACCATGTACTGCACAAAACTTATTTGCTGAAATCTGCATTTAAAATTTAGGAAATAGTAGATAAAGGAGGAAATTATTGTGCTAATGCAGAGGAAGAGGAGATACACGAAATATTATCCACTTAGACCTGAAAAAGGTTTTTGATGATCTCTCATATGATATTCTAATTAATAAAACAATTAAGTTTGGTAGGTATAACAGACTGATACTTAAATTCCAAAACGATATTCACTGATATTCTTCACCAAGCTAGGTGATATACTGTGTGGTATGCCTTAATATTAGAATTAATAAATATGTTTCTCAATGCACAGGATGAAACAATTTAAAGAATTTCATTAAGCATGCTAAAAGTGGGTTTTCAATCAAACAATAATTCCATTGCTATAATCCACTTCTACAATGCTACATCATCTCTTTCCACCCACTCTAGTTCACAATGGCTGCACTGACTCTCAGTAAACATTTACTGAGAGTTAGCTGTCCATTATTTGTAAAATGCTAATGAAGACTCTGGTGAGATGAGAGACCTGGCACTCCAAGGGCTGGAAAGACAATAATTTACATTGTTTTTAGCATTATGAATACTTACATAAGCTGTGTAGAAACACATCTTCAAGTGAAGATATTTTCTCCATTTAGCAGAATATGCAGGCTCCAAACTGGATAAAGTATGATCTAAAGTTACATTTTAAAAAGCAAAATATAATTTCACCCTGATTCACTAGAGGACTTTTAGTTCACGTGTTGTGATGCTAAGAGCCGAGAGGATGCCATTCAAGTCTGAGACTCAAGAAATTAACTTTTTTGAAAAAAACACCTTTACTTGAAGTGATTTTCCCAAATCTATACGTTAAGTTACCCAAGACTGGTTAAATACTCTGGCAGCTCTTTGATTTGATGGTTAATACAACTTTAAATTAAAGATAATGATAAAAATAGATTGTGACCAAGAACTTCAAAGTGAATATTGTTTATACTGCTATATTATCTAATTTTAAAAACTTAAATGATACAGCAAAGCTCACTCAAGTCAGAAATAGAATCCTCTCCTCTCTTCTCCATATCCTCCTGCCAAACCTCTCTCCTCTCCACCTCTCCTCTCCATAACCTTCTACTAAACATCTATTTTTTCCTCTCTATTTGCTACTTTGCTGTATTTGTCAAAGCTTTCATCATTTCCTTCATAAACGACAAGAATTTCTTAAGTGCCAAGTCAAGTTAGCTAGCCTATTACTCCTTCATGTAGCAAACCCATCTCTAACACTGCAACTATAGGGACCTGTCTTAAATTCAAATCTTATCAAGTCAGCCTTCTAATCTTTTAACAGGTCCCAAATATCTATAGAATGAAAGGTCAAAGGCTTACAAACCCATGTTTGATCCCAAGCATGCATACTTTTTCAATCTTTTCTCCTGCTACTCATCCTGTGTTTCAGGTAAGAGCAACTGTCTGAAGTTTCCAGAATGCACTAAGTTATTTCTTATTTTTGTATTTACTAAAGAATTCTATACCCAAACTCGAAAGCTTCCTAGGGAACATAAGACTTTTATTTACACTTCACAATAAGGCGAAAGCATCTTCTTCTAGAGTCCTTCTCTAGGATGCCCAGCTTGTTAAGATTTCTAATTCACTGCTGTGATATCTTACCTCAGGATATAATAATGGGGTTACATGTTTGTCTCCTTCCCTAAACTGCAAATCCTTTCTACTTGCCTCTTCTTAGCAACAAAAATAGTAACCATCCCATAAAAAAAACATTTGCATGTTTCCTAAATAAGTGAATGAAGAGTTAACAGGCTTATCACAGTAGTGTGTTCTAGTCCCAATCTCCCACTTTCTTGCAGTTAAATTATGGGCTAGTCATGTTAACTCTCTGGATTTCAGATTCTGTATAAGGCTGTTATAAAGACCAAAAGAAAATTTTAAGCCAAACGCTGTATAATCTTATTAGACATCACTGGTTTTCTCTTCCATTAGAAGTTATGCAGCATATTAAATATGAACGGTTCTATTTTAAATGCGGTAAATAATATTTATTACTCCACTTTTGCAAATAATGACAGAATCTGAGAAATCTTGTTTTGTCCCCATTAATTAAAGATCGAATAAATCTGAAAAACTGAAGACTAAAAATGTAACAACAGAATTAGCAGCTTACCAGCTCTTTGATAGAAATTGGCTGTTTCATACGCCAGTGCAGCAATTAGTCCAGGAGCGTGTTTTAGTTCAATTGCTCGAGCAATTGTTACTGTAACCAAACATAATAAAGGGAATCTATAATTAAATTCACTCCATTCATCCTAAATTCAATTATAACAGCAAAAGACAGTCTGACAATCTCTCTGGGATTTTAATACAGTTTGTTAAATGTTTTAACATTCAAAGTTACAGAAAATGCAAACATTAAACAGAAAACACTGGGCCTGTTGGTTCTGACACCACTTCTTTAAATAAATCATCAGTGAATCACTATTACAAAACAGCATGATGTAACAGGAAATTCTTTTTTTTCTTTTAAGACAGGGTCTTGCTGTCACCCAGGCTGGAGTGCAATGGCGTGATCATGGCTTACTGAAGCCTCAAACTCCCAGGCTCAAGTGATCCTTCTGCCTCAGTTTCCTGAGTGGCTGGGACTATAGGTACATGCCATGGCTCCTGGCTAATTTTTTAAAGAATTTTTTGTAGAGATGGAGGTCTTGCTATACTAACCAGGCTGGTCTCAAACTCCTAGGCTCAAGCAATTCTCCTGCCTCGACCTCCCGAAGTGCTGAGATTTGAGATTACAGGCATGAGCCACCATCCCGGCCATTTTCAGAGGAACATCAGAGTTTGGAAGAATGAAAAAGGAAAGCCTACAAAGTTTCTGTACTGTTTCATGTTAGTAATATTATCACCTGCCATTGAAAGGTGAAGATTTTAGGTACGCTGAAGGATAAAAGAGAAAAGAATGAGCACACTAAAGAAAAGATGAATTAAAGAATTAATGTTGTACTGTCAGAAATGACGTGAAATCAAAATCCTCTTAAAAAGAGCCATTCAACTATAAGACCTTTTCCTGCTAACTAAGAATGAAGGCAAATGCTAACGGTAAACTTATTTCTCATTCTAAAATTTCTCAAAATCTAAAAACTTGATTCTGGATAATTCTGATTTTTATTTAAATTGATTAATTATCTTGAGACAGGGTCTCACACTATTGCCCAGGGTGAAGTACAGTGGCGTGGTCTTGCAGCTCCGACCTCCCAGGTCCAAGCCATCACTGCCACCTCACCCTCGTGAGAAGCTGGACTACAGGCATGTGCCACCATGCCTAGCTAATTTTTGAATTTTCTGCAGAGATGAGGTTTGCTACCTTGCCCAGGCTGGTCTTGAACTCCTGGCCTGTAGTCATCTGCCCACCTTGGCCTCTCAAAGTGCTGTGACTACATGTGTGAGCCATAGTGCCCAACTTCCGATTCTTAAAGAGGAATTAAATGCCAATATAGACTTTCATTTAAAACAATCTTCCAATATTTAGGATACCTTCTTGAGCTTCGGCCTGACACTGAATAACATATGCTTCTATGAGTCGTGATTCTAAATCTCTTCCTTTTTCTGCGGGTGTAATGAGTTTTGGGATATGACTTTCCTGAGAACAACAACAAAAGACAAAAAAGCAGCCAAATTTTATTTTAATCCAGTTGTTAGAAATGAAGAAAACAGAAGTGATGAGACGTTCAATTTGGAAACTTAGCAGAAATTTAGGGTACAAACAAAAACTATAAAAACTAACAATGGTAAGCTTGTAAAGAACAAAGGTTCCTGTATACTAAAACTCAGCTTTTGTAAGAACAAGAAATTCAAGAACAAAATTTAAGTCATGATAGATTGCTGAGATATGCAAGCCACACTATCATTTTGAAAAATGTCAACTGAAATAGTAACCAAAATTCTTTTTGCAGGATAGCCTGAATTGTTCATTCACATTAATAATTAAAGATATAAAGAGGGCAGACGCAGTGGCTCATGCCTGTAATCCCAACACTTTGGGAGGCCGAGGAGGGCAAATCACAAGGTCAGGAGCTCAAGACCAGCCTGGCCAACGTGGTGAAACCCTGTCTCTACTAAAAATACAAAAAATTAGCTAGGCGTGGTGCCAGGTGCCCATAATCCCAGCTGCTTAGAAAGCTGAGGCAGGAGAATAGCTTGAAACCGGGAGGCGGAGGTTGCAGTGAGCCAAGATGGCACCACTGTACTCCAGCCCAGGTGACAGTGCGAGACTCCATCCCCCCCCAAAAAAAAAGGAAAAAAAAAAAACCCCACTATAATTCTACACCTAATTCAGGATCACAGCTTTTTAGTCACTATAAAAGCATCTTACTGTAACAGCAAAAAACAACACTGGCCTCTAGGAGGCCATCAATAAAGTGATTTAATTAGAATGAAATGGGGGAAATTGTTTAAAAGACACAATATTCTCTCTCCTAATTCCCATCACATCTCCAAGCAATTTAAAACTAGAGTGCACTCATTGTCCCTCTAATGTTTTCAGTGAGATACAGAGACTACAATTAGAAGTTCAGTTTAGGTAAGAACCATCAATGCTTCTGCTTTCTTTTCTCCTATCTTTTCAAAGACAGAAAAATAAGCAGAGCGCTACAGCTTAATCTTTCTAATTGTAAAAGTCACTGGTTTTTAAAACAAAAATGGAGACATTTAACATTTAGTAACTGGCTGCACTCATCAATAACATACGTAACATAAGGAAGACAGAACACATATTAACTTTTTTAATATAATGAAACAATTCTTCCTCTGTATGCCCCCAAAAGAAAAATTATTCAAGAATTAAAGCATTAAGAACAAACAATGTTTTTTATCTCTTTTACCTTTAAATGTTTAAAAATCCCAGCTGCAATCTTTAGGCTTCGATGAACTTCTTTTGCTTCATCTTCTGTTATACTTAAAGATAGGGGTTACATTAGTTAGAGGATGAATTCCATTTCTGGTATTAAAACACAACAACCAATACATTATTATACATCCAAAGTAGTCATTTATGTTTCTCACGGCTAGTTTTCTTCCTTTTAAAAAAATCTGATTTTGAGGCCAGGCACAGTGGCTCATGCCTGTAATCCTACGACTTTGGGAGGACAAGGTGGGCAGATGGCTTGAGGCCAGAGGTTCAAGACAAGCCTGGCCAATATGGCAAAACCCTGTCTCTACTAAAAATTCCAAAATTAGCTGGGTATGGTGGTAGGCACCTGTAATCCCATCTACTCAGGAGGCTGAGGCATGAGAATCACTTACACCTGGGAGGCAGCAGTCGCAACAAGCCATGATCACTAAATCCAGCCTGGGTGACAGAGTGAGAATGTCTCAAAAAAGAAAAAAATTTAATTTTGACACCTAGAAAAGGAAAAAATGCACATGAAATGTACATTTGTAGAAAACTTGTACAAACTAAAATATTTTGAATGCCAAGCCAATGAGTATTCCATAAGGTCTTGAAAACAAGTATATGACATAAAGATATCACTAAGATGACAAAAGCATATCAATATGTCTCCAAAAGATACTACAAATGAAAAGAGACCCTGATTGGGGGTAAAATCTTCAGCCAGGCATGGCAGATCATGCTTGTAATCCCAGTACTTTGGAAAGCCAAGGCAGGAGAATCACCTGAGGCCAGGAGTTCGAGACCAGCCTTGCAGACATGGTGATACCTCGCCTCTACAAAAAACACAAAACAAAACAAAATCCGGACAAAGCCTTCTTATTTTTCCTTACAGACATTTGTGCATGTAAGACAAAGACAAAATATTACACACTTAATGCATACACATGCTTAAGAAACACACAGATACACAATGGTAGCTAGTATTATTACTCTGCTCTTTTTTTAACCACCTAAATTACTTTAGAGGTAATTTTACATCAGCACATACAATTTGACCTCATTTTCAAATGTTACATATTATTCCCACATATGGATGAACCATAATTTGACAGGTTCCTATTGCTGTATCTACTATAGCTATTAAAAAATTGTATTGCCTTTGTATTACCTTTAAGGTAAGCCAAAGAGTGAAAGAGAAAAAAGAATGAGCACACTAGTGAAAGTTCTTTAATCCTTCAAAACATCTTTTCACATAATATAAGCCTTCTGTATTTGTCTTCTGTGAATTGCCTGTTTATGTTCGCTTTCAGTTGATTTGATAGTATTTTCTCTCCTGATTTCTGAGTATATGTTATAAAAGCAAACAATTTATCAAATGAATTGCTATGTTTTTGACCAATATTGCCATTTGTTTTTTTAACTCTGTTTATGATCCTTTTACGGAGTTAATACTCATGCTTTTACATTATGGTTTTTCAATTTGGGGTCTTACTTAGCAAGACCTTCCACAGGACAAGACTGTTAAAATTTCTTTTACCTTTTGACAATAGGTGCCGTAATTCTGATACTCAAAATACGAACATTATAAGGTAATCCTTCACTTGTCCAAAGTGGTACTTTTTTTTTTTTTTGAGGTGGAGTTTCGCTCTTGTTACCCAGGCTGGAGTACAATGGCGCAATTTTGGCTCACTGCAACCTCTGCCTCCTGGGTTCACACAATTCTCCTGCCTCAGCCTCCTGAGTAGCTGGGAGCACAGGCACGCACCACCATGCCCAGCTAATTTTTTTTGTATTTTTAGTAGAGACGGGGTTTCACCATGTTGACCAGGATGGTCTCGATCTCTTGACCTCATGATCCACCCGCCTCGGCCTCCCAAAGTGCTGGGATTATAGGCATGAGCCACCGCGCCTGGCCAAAGTGGTACTTTTTACAACAGATTTTTTAAATAATGAAGCTCCATATACTTGAAAAATAATGCAGATGCACATAATCTTCTCCTTTTAACTTACTTTTCTTTTCCAGCCAGTCTTGAAGCATATTTGGTATACCATAAAGCTACATTAAATCCCATGGAAATTAATTCAAAAACAGCATCCTGCTGGGCACTGGAATTACAAACATGATCATTAAGTCCTGTCAATTATCAAGACATCACAGCATAAATCCTATTGGACATCCAACTCAAAATTACAAAGAAGTATATGCTAACTGGTATGTATGAGGAAAATGGTTGTGTTTAATATAGATGGAGAGATAAGACATACAGGAATTTAACTACAAATGGCTAAGTGTAATGGTCCAGAAGGTACTATGTACTTCATAATAAGCATGGGAATAGGAGTTCCCAAAGTTTACTGTACATAGAGTAACTTTTAAAATACACATTTCTGGGCCTTAATCCCAGAGTCAGAAAGCCTGGAATGGGGCTTAGAATCTATATTTTTAAGAAGTACTCAGTAGATTATCAAAGGTGTGGTTCTTATATAATATTTTAGAAAAATGAAATTCAGAGGAGAGATTGTTTCAGGCTAGAATAATTAAGAAGGTTTAACGGTACATAGACATTTGAACTGTCCCTGGAAAGATAACTAGAAGGGAAGCAAAAGGACATCCTAGGTGAGGAAACAATGCTATCCAAGCATAAGAGTATAAAAAATTTTCTGATACAAGTGACCCAAAGAGCTTCACTGGAGCAGATGGTATGTAAAAAAGAAATCAAGAAAAAGAAGGGCAATGAGCAAGCTGAAGACAAACTGTACAAAATTTTGAATTCCTAGCCAATCAGTACTCCAGAAAAATGTCCTGAACAAGTATATTTTACACCTTGTTTCCTTCAGCTTCTATTACTAAGTATGATATAAAGATGGCAAAAGCATATCAAGCAAGTAAGATATTCATACCAATGTATATTCACTATTGTTCTTAAAAGAACCTGAAAATGTTTTATAAATGATCTCATTTATCTCAACTAATAAAGAAAGCAGAATGTCCTTATTTTACACGTGTAATACTAAGACACAGAAAAGCTACCCAAAAAGAAGAAACAAGAATTATCCCTCCACTTTGTATTTTTTAGCTACTTGTTGATCCTGGGAGGTGGCAGTTACAATGAGCCGTGATCACACTACTGCACTCCAGCCTGCTGAGAGTCAGAATGTCTCAAAAAAAAATTTTTTTTTAAATTCTGACACCTAGAAAAGGAACAAATGCACACGAAATGTACATTTTTGGAAAACTTGTACAAACTAAAAGATTTTGAATTGCCAAGCCAATCAGTATTTCACAAAAAGGTGAATATACTACTAAATATACTTACTACAAAATAATAGTTTCTTAGTTGGATATTGCCCCTGTCTTAAGAGAAATGGAGGTGTGGTTAACTTTTTAAATGAAAAAAAGTATTATAAAATATGTAGTAATTAAAAAGTAATTTCCAAACTGTCTTGTTTATTATAGATCATATAAAAAATGAGTTATGAACAAACTTCTCAAAACAATTTTATCCTCCTGAAAAAAATTTAATACATAGTTTAATAGCTTATTCTTTCCTGCACTAAAGCTATCAAATGAATTACATCTGGAGATCTAGTGAACATGTCTAATTTATAAGTTTACCTTTAAATAATAGGACAGATTGGCTAATTTATGTGAAGTCTCATAAATAATTCTCTTCCTTCATAATCCTTCATTTATGTCAATATCCCTTGTTTCCAAACACTCCATTTCTATGACACCTCATCTAAGTAGTAGTCATAGTATCTATAATGGAAACAATATTTTTCAGAATAGATAGACTCACAACACTATTTCTACTAAGTAGCAATCAAGAATAAAGTAAGGTAGAAGTCTCATTTGTGCTGAATAATTTGTATGACTTAAGGTCTTCATCACATAATTCTTCACTATCTCATAAAATTGCTGAAAAAATGTTAAATAATAGCTCACTATTTTTTTTCTTTGTTTTTTTTTTTTTTTTTTTTTTTAATAGATAGACTCTTGCTGTGTCACCCAGGCTGGAGTGCAGTGGTGCAATCTCAGCTCACTGCAACCTTGGCTTCCCGGGTTTAAGTGATTCTCCTGTCAGCCTCCCAAGTAGCTAGGATCACAGGCATTCTCCACCATGCATGGCTAATTTTTGTATTGTTCAGTAGAGATGGGGTGTTACCACGTTGGCCAGGCTGGTCTCAAACTCCTGAACTCACATGATTCGCCTGCCTTGGCATCCTAAAGTGCTGGGATTACAAGTGTGAGCCACCGCACCCGGCCTTAGCTCACTATTACATAGAATCAAAATGTGGCACGGTGGGAAAAGTGCCTAATTTATGTAACACACACATTATAGAATCTGTCAAAATAATGACAGAGGTTTGATTCTTTAAAAAAGTATTTTTAATTTAAAAAAATCATTAATTTTGGATTAAAAACAAATGGGTCACATTAAAAAAATAGAAAACAAGGTCTTAGAAAATCTGAGTATCCCAGAATATTAAAATTTGGAAAAAAAAATCCCTAGTACCTACTTCCCACCCAACTCCCAAGTAAGGAAAGAAGGAAATGAACATTTAATGAATGTCTTATAAGCCTAGAGTCGTTATTAGTCACTTAACAAAAATTCTCTTGTTTCGCTTCTCACAAAGTACTTTATCTATGGCCCCAACATACAGTTGAAGAAGCAGATCTTCATGCAGTAAAAACCTGAAACTGCATCTAAATATGTACAAATCCAATGTCCATACTCTTTCTATTATAATATACAGCCTGCTCTGGTCTTTCAGCAACCTCCACCCCTTCCTTTCTGTTTTTATAAAATAGTAATTCTAAATCAAATTGAGATGAAAATATATGGGCATTTAAACAACAAAATAGCGTTGAAAAACAGTAGGTAAGTAAAACATCAGCACCATTATGATCTGTTTTCTGTTATAATTAGATTTATTATAAATAGTTTCAAGTAAGTGATAAGAAAAGCTCTAAAGGGAAGTTTTTAAAAAGAATAGAGAGAGGGAAGAGAGATAAAGAAGAAAACATATACTATCAATCAAGAGTATGAAATTGGAGAGAAAGAAGGAGACAGAGAAAGACTAATGGAAGACATGAAGCACCATCAGCAAAAGGCAAGTAAGGGAAAAACTTAAATTCTGCTCAGCTTCAGTGTAGGCACATGTGGAATGTCAGTTTGTATTCTTAGTCCTCAGACCATCCTTTGTGTGTTTTTCAAGGTCAAGGCTGTTCAACTGTAGTTAACATTTGTATTGATTACCTCGAAAATAGATTTGGTTGGGAGAAACAAATTACATTTTTACTTACTATGTACTAGGATTGAGGTCGAATGCTTTTAATTAATTTCCTGGTAAGAGACAATGCTGAGCAGACCTGTATTTTTTTCTTCAAACACAGAGGCTATGAGTCAACCACTGGCTAAACAGTTACAAAAACTGGCTCCAATTTAGTAGAACCTCAGTGTTGCTTACCTTGGAACCTGTCCTTGTAATGTATCAGTCCACTTGAAATTTTGAATAAATCGTAACTTGCTTTCTTGGGTAGATTCATCCAAAGAATTTATAAAGCCTATAGAAAAATATAAGACATTTAAGTTTTAGAAGAAATATTGAGTGTTCTGTTTGGAAGAATTTTCAGATTACTTTTCCAGGTGTCTGAATAAAACTTCTTGCCGTTTTCCAAAGAATACAGTCTGGAAGAGTAAACTCATCAAATTTGAAAAGTCAAAGAATTAAATGTAAACTTCTAGATCTTTGTTAAAAAAAACCTCAATTTCATATAAATAACTAACCTTGTAAAAGTGAAAAATATGAATCTGCTGCATTCTTCATCATTTCTGGATTACAGCTCAAATCAGTGAACAGTTCAAGGAGTCGTGCCCTGGATGATCTCAAGTCACTTACAAGAGATAGAAAGAGACAGTAACTTTAGCTGTGTTGCAATCAATCTACATAAAAGTGGCTTCCAGGTTTCAACATAAAAGCTTTAAAACACACACACACACACACACACACACACCCCTACCTCATCTAAAGGATTACCAAACACACGGAAATGAATTTAATTAGGACTAAATCTAGATAAAATTTCTAATAACAACTGCTTTAAAAGTTGTACTAAAATAAACTCAGACCAATTAAAGGGGCAAATAATGAATACAATTACATAATTAAAATATACAGCAAGTTTTAATTAAAAAACAATCAAACAAATGCATGCATTTAAGACAGGAAAAGAATTAAGAATGAGTAAAAAACTAAGCAGTTCACAGTAAGTTTCTTGAAAAATGAAAATTTAACACATCTGTGTATCATTTTAATATCACTTTAAAATTTCTAAATCTGACATAAAACACAAAAATGTGAAAATATACTGCATAAAAATGTTAAAAATGAAACTGCATTCTATAATACATACATCAAGAATATGTAAAACATGTGGCCATTAGTTGTTTTAAAACTACTCCCTAATCTGTATTCTCCTCTACTTCTCTATAGCAATAAATGTTGTAGATCCACCTTTTCCTTCTTGAAATTATTTTCTCCTTTGATTCCAATACTACTAAATTTTCTACGTGCTCCCCTTATCTCTGAAGTTCTTTTCATATTTTTTTCTGTGTCTCTTTTTCATCCCCAACTCCAGAAATGTTCAGTCTTTGGCTTTCTGGTTCTCTCTCTTTTGAGATTTCATCTATTAGGATAGCTTCAACTATATCCACTCCTACATCTCCATCGTTAGCTTTCCCTTGGTTTTGTTCCAGTTCCAAATCTAATCCAGAAGGCAATTAGCTTAGTGAGGCTTCCGATATTATATTACATGGATATGACCAAAGACCCTTGAAATGTGTAAACCATTAAAGAAAGACTAAATTTAAATGCTAAGTATCAAGAGAGTGGAGGCTACGTATCCTGAATTTGGTAGATGCCTAGGATCAAGCGCATATTCAAATTACTTGCTGAGTGGAAGAATACAAAGTTTTCAATTTTCAGATTTGGACTATAATGTAGCAGTGATGTTTAGAAGAGTGCACAGACTAAATCCTAAATAGTCTAGATGTAGTACTTACTCATTGGTACTAACACTAAGGAGGCATATTCCAAGAAAGTATGCATGTATCACCAATTACAAACAGCTGACTAAAACGTGACTGATTATCTTATGAATTAATCATTGTTTGAGGTATTTATCTAGAAGCTGGAAACACATGATTCAACTTCTAAACTAGGAAGAAATTTTAATCCTTAAAGCCTATTCTGCACTGAAATAATCTGTTAGCTATTTCCATATAGATCCTTGATCATCACCTACAGCTCAACTTGTATAAAGTTATATTCATCTTAGAGATTTGAGACAAATGTACTGCAGATATATTTAATTTAGGCTGTTCATTTCATAGATTAGAAATCAGGCCCAAAGAAGTTAAGGGACTTGCCCAACGGTACAGATGAAACAGCTGAGCTGGGACCAGCCTCCAGGAGTCTAGATCAAGGGTTGCCAAACTACAGACTGTCCTGTTTTTTCATACCCCACTGCTTATTTTTGTTCAGCCCTCAAACTAAGAATGGTTTTCACATTTTTAAAGGGTTATAAAAATGAGCAAAGAATATGCAATAGTGACTGTATGTGGCCCACATAAGCCTAAAATCAATATGATGTAGCTTAAAAAAAGGTTTGCGGACCATTAGTTTAGATTAACAAGCCAATTATCCTATCTTTTGTTCTAATCACTTCTTCCCATAAGAGCAGCAACTCTTCAGATTTTTCTTTATTAGTACCACCAATGTCTTAATCATCTAGGTTCTGTATCTCACAGAGACTGAATCCTTTTCAACCTCCCAAGGCAAATTAGTCAATCAGGTCCATTGACTCCTCCTTCAAAACATCTTTTGCATTTATCTCTTCTGTTTCAGCCAAATTGCTCTACTTACTATCCCTAGCACAAAGGTTTTCCTGACAGAAATGACCTTCTCTCTTCCCCCCTGGCAACCTAAATCAAGAATATCCAAATAGTTTTTTGGAAAGCACCAAATAGTAAACATTTCAGGCTTTTCTGGTAATGAGGTATCCATTGTGACTATTTAATTCTGCTGCTGTAGAGGAAAGCAGCCAGAGGCAGTTATAAATGATATGTCAATAAATGTGGGACTGGCTGTGTTCCAATAAAACTTTATTTATAAAAACAAGCAGTGGCCCAAATCCATAGGACACAGTTTGCCAAACCCTAGTCTAAGCCATACACTTCATTCAAGGCCTATTCCTATGTGAATACTATAAAGGCCATTTCAGGTCATAGGGATCTCTCTCCCTGCTCTGAACTCCACAAGTTAACTATGTGGCCAATTTAAAATGTCCCTATACAGCTGGGCGTGGTGGCTGTAATCCCAGCACTCTGGGAGGCCGATGCAGGAGAATCGCTTGAACTGGGGAGGCAAAGGTTGCATTGAGCTGAGATGGAGCCATTGAACTCCAGCCTGAGTGACAAATCTCCATATCAAAAAAAAAAAAAAAAAATGCCCATATACTACTTTGTGGAGTCTCTTGTACTGTTGTAATACATAGATTAACTGTTTTACTCCGATTGCTTTAGCCTCTCTGGAACTCATTTACTGATCTAAAATTAAGGTTCGAAGCCTAGAAGACTTGACAAAGTTTAAATAATCTGATTTAACTCTTCACATATCATTGATAAATGTATAAGGAACTTAAACTTAGAAACAGTGTGTTACATATTTCTGTATTGACCATGGAACCAAAAAAAGGACCCTGCATCTAAGAGTGGTTCAATCAATGCACTTACTTGCATATTTTTGAAGCAGAAGGGCCAGTGACCACACCATAGTAATTAAAAGACACAGGAGCTGTGGCTTTTAATGGATTCCTATGAAACCAATGGGTCATTTTCTCCAGATGTTTTCTATAGACAAAAAAGTAAAAAATGCACAAAATTTAAAACTATTTAATAAACAAGGTAAATAGTATAAAGTTATTTCTAAAAGTTTACAGTACATGCACATTTTATATATAACTATCATGCACAAAATATATATGTAATATACAAATAAAATGCTTCATTGTCACAATCTTTTTTTTGATAGAAAAATAACTTTTTTTTTTTAGTTGACATCTCACTTAGGTAGTTTTTCAAGTTTTTTTTTTTTTTTTTTTTTTCCTTTCTTGAGACAGGATCTTACCCTATCGCCCAGACTAGAGTGCCATGGGGAGATCAGGGCTCACTGCAGCCTCTATCTCCCGGGCTCAAGGGGGCCTTCCCCTTCAAGCTCCCCAGTAGCTGGAACCACAGGCATGGCCACCATACCCGGCTAATCTTTGTGGAGACCGAGTCTTACCATGTTGCCCAGGCTGGTCTCAAGCTTCTAAGCTCAAGCGATCCAACCACCTCAGCCTTCCAAAGTGCTGAGATTACAGGCGTGAGCTACCACGCCTGGCCCAGTGTTTTCATTTTTATAATAGAATGTATTTGTCAAGTATTATATTACATTTTTATTTTAAGAATATTCTTTAGCTATTTTTTGGAAAGAACGTTTTATTATAGAACACATGCTATAACCAGCCCACTGTTGTCAGCAATATTTTAGAAATACAGCAATTCACTTAAAACTTACTACAAGTAGCCTTAGCAGTATAGTCAGGGTTACCATTTGAACCCCTTTTGGAAATTACATTCATCTGGTCCTGTGCCCTTTTACTTGCAGTTGTCCAACCAAAACCTAGTACTTTGCGATTCAGAAGTGTAGTCTGGGGACCAGCATCATCAGCATCTCAGGTCCTACCCCAGTCTGTTGAATTAGATCCTGCATTTGACAAAACCACCCACCCCCAGATGATTTTTATGTGTATTAGAGTTTAAACATTACTGCTTCCAAATAGATGTGTTAAGATTGAAGTTATTGTGGGCAGATTTTCAAATGCTGTTCTGCTTTTTTTAATAGGCCTGATCTGAACATAGACTGCCATAAATAGACAGTTAAACCAAGATTGAGGCCAGACATGGTGGTTCATGCCTGTAATCCCAGCACTTTGGGAGGCCCTGGCAGGTCACTTGAGGTCAAGAGTTTGGGTCCAGCCTGGCCAGCATGGTGAAACCTCGTATCTACTAAAAATAGAAAGATTAGCCGGGCATGGTGGCACATGTCTTTAGTCCCGACTACTTAGGAGGCTGAGGCAGGAGAATTGCTTGAACCGGGGAGGTGGAGGTTGCAGTGAGCTGACATCAAGTCACTGCACTGCAGCCTGGGCACTTGTGACCTGAGTAAGAAAAAAAAAAAAAAAACTTGAAAAACTACCTAGGTGAGACGTCAACTAAACAAAAAAAAAAAAGTTTGACGCCGTCTACGTTTAAAAAAAAAAGCAGCCTACATCTTGTCTAAATGTCCTTGGGTAGGTAGCGCAGCAAATAACATGGAGAAAGCCAAGGCGAAGACTTAAACACGGCACTTAGATTCCAGGAAGTAACCAGAGAAGAAATTCTGATTAAAAAATAGTGCGGGCTGTGCAGTGTATGAAATGCCTACATTAAGTGCTTCCTTCTATTTATTGATTCATGACAAAACCGGTTTTGAGGAGCACCACATTTAATGAATACAGAATGCAACGAAAAACTGAGCAGGTTTATTTAGGACTCAAAACATTTAACGAGTTCTTTCAGAAAATATCATCATCTACACATCTTCCCCATAAATCTCGATAGCCTAATACAACATCTATGTGCCTATAAATAAAACCTTAGGGTTAACGTCACACTGAACACTAGAAGCTGCGAAAGCAAATCTTCTACAGATATATATATTTTAAAGCGGCCTCCCACTTCCTCGATAAAAATGTCTTAAGTTTTGCATGTCTTTACTTCAGGAAAGAAGAGGGTACGTTTCTGCCCCTGTCCCATCTCCCCTCCTGCGACTCGGTGCGCTTCAGTTCGCAGGAGTTCCTACGGTGGGACAGAAAAACGACACACCCACCCACAGCGACAAGGGTGCCTTTAGAGCCACCAATACATCATTCGGATCGAAGCTGTTAGCTAACACACTTCCACAGGAGGACTCCAGTTCCTGACAAGGGATCCCCACTCCGGAGGCCCGGAGTCCCCGGAGGAACCTACCTGAGCGCTGCCCCCGAGCTCTGAGGACCCACTTCCTGTTTACCACCCAGCCTCTTCCGTGCCCTGTCCCTTTCTAGGCGGCGGCGGCGACTGTGCGCAAGCGCCAACCCTTGAGTGCCCCTTTCTAAACAGGCATTTTGGTGGAAAGCCGATACTGTCAACCCGGGAGAGGTGGGCAGACGACGGCCGAATGAACCCCAGTTTAGCTTGCATTATAAGCTCTCCCATGACCAATGGAGATGGGGGGCAAGAGGGTTCGGCGGGCTAGGTGTTAATGCCACTGATTTGCGGGGCCTAATATGGTTTTCGTTCTGTCGTTTGTTTCGAGGCATTAGAAGGAGACTTTCGGTCGACTGTCCAGGGGTTTGCTTGGGACTCCGGGGAAACCCCGGGGGGGGATTACTGGGAAACACCCATCCTCTGACATACTTACCAAAGTTCTGAGAGTCGGTACAGCAGTTCTTCTAAGGGAAGAAAGGCAATATCGAGGTCCACAAGCGAGAAAAAGACGGAGTCGGAGAACCGAGACTACAGAACCAGAGTGACGGGGAAGCAGGCCGGCGCTAAGCCGGAGTCACGTGGCCCGGCGGCCATGACAGCTACCGAGGCGGTAGTGAGCTCAGCTCAGAGGCGGGGATTGCCGCGGCGTCGCAGGCTCCTTCGAACGCTCCGTTCATCAGCCCTTTCTGACTTCTCCTCCCTCCGCCTTCCTTTTCAGCTATGGTTTTTTCCCCAGACAGGAAGAGGAAACTTGGCTCTGCCTCCGGAGCCGAGGAATGATGCCACAATAGCGATGGCGGCCACCGGCTGAGTGGGGCGGCCTCAACCTAACACAGGGCGGGGCCTCGGGGGCGGCGTCTCGGCGGGGCGGTCGCTTTGGAGCCGCAAAGTTTGGCTGTGGCGGCAAATGGGCTTGGGCGGCTCCTCGGCGGGTGGCGGTGGTGGCCGTAGCGGTTCCTCCTGGCCCTGTTAATGTCGGGGCCAGGCCCGGGGAGGATGGCGCCCTAGAACCCGGCCTTGCTGGGGTAGGGGCGGGAGGGGACGGGGTGGGGACCGGCCATGTCGGAGGTGACCCGGAGTCTGCTGCAGCGCTGGGGCGCCAGTTTTAGGAGGGGCGCCGACTTCGACTCTTGGGGCCAGCTGGTGGAGGCGATAGACGAGTATCAGATGTGAGTGACTAACCGCGGGACAGCGGGCCGGCCCTGCTCCAGTCGTGCGCCTCTCCCTTGTTTCTGTCGGTGTCTCTCATCACTGCGTCTGCAGCCAAGGCTTCTCAGGGCGGGGCCCCGCAGGCACGGGGGCTGAGATCCCTCGCCACCAGCTCCGGCGAGGCTGCTCTGGGGACCACGGCTCCGCTCTCGGGGCGACTAGCCCTCTTCCCGCTCCGCCTCCGCAGGCCAGTTCCATTCAACAGGTAGCCCTTCTTCACTGGGGCGCCGGCCCCAGCCGGCCGTCTGCTTAGTTCCCTTCCACCGTCCCCAGCTCGGCAGTCAGTTTCCTTTCCTCCTTTCCTCCTCTTCCAGGTTTGCCCTTCCTAGATTTCCTTTCGAAATTCTCTGAGGAACACTTGTGTGTTCTCCGCCCACGTTCCAAGGATCAGTGGCCTTGCTCTGTGTGTGTCTTCCTCCTTCCATGTGTGGGAGAGGAGGGAACTGGTTGCGATTGAGGGGAGGGGGCCCCCCAGGAAGCAGCGAGGGCCGGGGATACCTCTTCTGCCAAAAGAAGGGTCTCCTCTCGAGCTCCTTCTCCACCCCTCTTTCTGGGTGAGCTGTGTTTTCAGAATTCCACCTCGATTTCGTTTCGATTTCTGGGACTGTTATTGGTAGGCTGTGAGTCCCACCCACCCCCTCGCTCGGTTGCCTTGGGTGGAGTCCTTGCAGGATGTGAACCGGAGAGAGCAAAATGTGAATTAATGGACCACGCTCGGGAGCACCACTCCCTCCTTGGGGTCCTCCTCCTTTTCCTGTATATAATGTATAGCCGCAGGGTACAAGTGAGTACCAGTTTCTTTGAGCCACCTAAGACCGATTTCTAGCCCTTTTTGGTTTCCCCAGAAAACTTCAGGGATGTCTTAAAAAATAAAAGACAAGATTTGTATACAGAGAAAACCTCGCTTAGTTTTGTGCACATTTTACTGGACTTAAGAACTGTGTGCTAAAATGCTATTGTTTGCAAACTCGCCATTAATTATTCTTTGTTTAAAGCAAGTTATTCTTTGAGATTTCACTGAGTATGAAACCATGTATGAGTAGAATACCCCCGGCCTCCCCCACCCCACGCCCACCCCCACCCTCACCACACAGTGATTTCTAGAAAGAATACACACTCACTTGGTACTTGGAAGATCTAAACTCTTATCCTCCCCCACAATCGTTTTTTTTTTTTTTTTTTTTTTACTCTATTAAGATAATTTAAATGTGTAGGTACTGACTTTGAATTGCCTGTAGTTTGAAAAAGCTCTGAAAACAACTATGCTCTGGGCCATTTTGCCATGTGTAACAACTACTAGCATTTGTTTTGCACTTTCACATGATTTCATTTGCTCTTGCAATTACCCAGTGAGAATATAATCTCATTTTACAAATGAGGAAAACTAAAGCTCAGGTTAAACAGGTTACTCAGGTCACAAGCCGATACCACTGAAATCTGCGGTTTAGAAAAGAAAATCCAAATCCTGTGTCTACTACATAGTGCTTAAGATGCACTGATAGAGTAATTTTGTGAGTGAATTAGACAAATTAGAAGATTTTCTTCATTACCGGAGAACACATCCTGACTGTAGCCTATTAGACAGTAAGCGCCCGTGTATACTCATTCTGTATATTAACTAAAAGTGCATAGCTTGAAATAGAAAGCCATCTCTTACTTGCAATGTGGTGAGACCTAGCAGCTGTTGACACTGGGCTGCCGATTTCACAATGGAAAGTGAAGAATACCATGTCCAATTGAAATTACAAAGGAAAATTGAATATGCAAGCTGTTTAGATTGAATTTCTAGGAACATGAAGGAGAGGGTGATAGGCACGTGCAAATCCATTGTTGGATCTCAGTACTAACCATTGGACTTCCTGATTGTGGTAGTCCTCAAATTATTATAAAAACTGCCAGGGTCACCTCTCAACGGAAATGTAATGATTGGCTTAAATTTTGTAAACATGTAGGCTACATATAAAATGAGGCCGAGAGTTTAAAATTACTTAATATCTCCAGAAATGAATGCAAATTGTCTTTTCCCTTTGAAATATCTATTTGAGGCAAAAGGCTACAGCAAAAGAGACCAATTGGGGGCCACTATAATGATGTAAACAAGAATTGATGGGATGTAGTTACTGACTGGATATCAAGGGTGTAGAAGGAGGAAGAATCTAGGATAATTGAGATTTCTAATTGGGTAGGCAGCAATCTTTTTATAGCCACACAACATACAAAGGTTGGTTTATGGGAGGGATATAGGGGAGAGAGAGTACATACCTGTATTATCATAATGTCATAATACTGTAGTTTAAACAATTTCATTACTCAACAAGTAAGGATTGGGGATACAAAGATGAATGAAATTTGATTTCTGCCCTCAAAGCACTGAAAATCCAGTGGAATATTTTAGAGTAACTGGGTGTTACAATTACAAAAGTAGGAAAAGAGTAAGCTCTCGCACATTCCTTGCTATTTCCTGAACCGTGGTTCTGCCTTAGGGCTCTTCTATTTTTCTGGAACACTCTTCTCTCCATTATCTGCCTGGATCACTTCGTCACCTCCTTCAGGTCTTTGTTCAAATAAACTCAATGAGGCTTTCTCTGGGGACCCTATTTAAAATTGCAAAGTCCCTTGTCCACCCCTACTGCCTCTACCTCAGTTTCACACATCCTACCCCCAACCCTGCTTCATTTTTTCATTTTTTTCCATGGTACTTATCACAATCGAAAATATATTTTTTGAATTTGTTTTGTTTACTGTCTCTCTCTCCCCACTGGAGCATAAGCTCTTTGAGGGTAGGGTATTAGTGTATGTTGCAGGGTGGTGGGGAGAGGAGATGGGACAGTGTGTCTTTTGTTCTCTGCTGTATATGTAGTGTATAATCATTCAAATGTCATTGATTATTTAGATATTATGTAATTATTCTGTTGAATGGTCGAATTTAGGAGTATGCTATGGGAGCATTAAGGAGTTGATGCCAAAATACTATTGGAAGATTTAAATGAATTCTGTCAAAACTAAAATAGTCATCCACAGTATTAGATGGTCAATGAAAAATAACTGTATTTAGCTATCTGGGGATATGTGGCCACTAACTTATGGTAGAGTGGTACAGAAACTATTGCTCAGAATCTGACATTTCACAGGATCAATCCTGAGGTATTTATCTAGCACATGGATACTCAATAAATATCTGCTAACTGGCCAGGCCAAGGCGGGCAGATCACCTGAGGTCAGGAGTTTGAGACCATCCTGGCCACATGGTGAAACCTCCTCTCTGCTAAAATTACAAAAAATTAGCTGGGCATGGTGGTGATTTCCTGTAGTCCCAGCTGCTCAGGAGGCTGAGGCACAAGAATCCCTTGCACCTGGTAGGTGGAGGTTGCAGTGAGTGGAGATCGCGCCACTGCATTCCAGCCTGGGTGATGGAGGAAGACTTTTAAAAAAACAATATCTGCTAAGTAAATCAAAAAATCTGAAGACTAGATAATGGCCACTTGTCTTTTCTTGTTGTCAAGATGGAATCTCTTGCCCAGGCTGGAGTGCAGTGGCACAATCTCAGCTCACTGCAACCTCCACCTCCCAGGTTCAAGCAATTCTCCTGCCTCAGCCTCCGGAGTAGCTGGGACTACAGGCTCATGCCACCACATCCAGCTTATTTTATTTCAAATTTTTAGTAGAGACAGGGTTTCACCATATTGGCAAGGCTGGTCTCAAACTCCTGACCTCAGGTGATCCACCTGCCTCGGCCTCCCAAAGTGCTGGGATTACAGGAGTGAGCCACCATGCCTGGCCCCACTTGTCATTTTAGTTGTGCTTTATGTCTCTGCTACTTAAAGTGTGGTCCACAGGTTGGTGATAGTCTATAAACTGTTACTGCCCTGCGGTAAGATGAGGAAAGAAATTGAGAGGAAGCATGTGGAAACTTTCTAGCAATTTTACGTCTTCACGATATTTTTGAAATTGTATTGGCCTAGAACAAATTTTGGGGAAAAGTGATCCTTCGCTACAGATGGTTTGAGAAGCACTAGTTTCTGCGTCACAGAATGCTGCGGGGTTTCCAGCAGTTAGTTGCATATGTGCTTAAAGTATGTTTAAAACCCTCTCTTGAGAATATTCCCATTTTACTTGTAGGTACCTTTGTAGGGTGAGATGTCTATCTAGAG